TCATCTTATGGGGAAAACCTCTCAAACTCACCTATTTGGAGACTTGAACTTAAAATATCTCTCAAAGGGATGAACTTAAATTTATTTATTTAACAGTATGATTTTTTAACTTTTGATTTAATGTATGTACTACTCAAATGCATCTGAATTTTTTAATTATCTAATTTTGAAATTGATCGATTGTGTGGAGTTTTAAGCAATTGTAAAACTAGCATTAATTGGCATTGGTATGGTACCATATGGTTTAAAAGTGGAATGATGTGGAATGGTTTAAGTTCTAAAACTGAACTGTACCATTTAAATAGTCACAGAACAGGTACGAGTTTGACAAAATATTGAACCGTCTTGAACTATGCCCACCCATAGCTCTAGCCACATTTGCCGACATTTGTTGTCAGATGGGTTTGTTTTTATATGAGACTATTAATTTTCTTAGCAGATAAAATAACAAAGTTTTTTCAAATAAGGTTGGTCTGTCCAATTAATTATTTGCTAACAAACATATCATTGAGACAGTCAGATCATTCTTCCGGCGAAAATAAAAAACAAAAGTGAGGTAGGGGTGGGGCAAGGGAGCCATCAGTGGGTAGTTGGTTCGAATTAAAAAAAAAGTATATTAATTAAATAAAGCTTAATCACATTTTGAAAATGAAAATAAGTCATATTTTTGTGTTTCATAATAAATGAAAACTTGTCGGACTTTTGTGTTTCAAAAGTATAGAGTAGGGTGAGTGCAGTCCGAGTCGGCCTGGATAATTGATAAATTTTCAAAAATCGCCGGTTCAATTTCATGAGTAGGTCCGATCTGAGTATACCAAATCTTGAAATATGAACCGGTCCTGACCCGCCCCGTTTGAATGGTACAATTCCGTTCGGGTTCTCGTTGTTTTGTAAAAAAAATACTGCTACGTTACTAAAGTATCTAGTAAATAATACGGAGTAACACTTTCTAGCTAATTAAGGAGGTGTTTACTTCGTTACTAAAGTCACAGTCACGTTAGTAAGACAGATGAAGTAAACACGCACGATGCTTAAAAAGCTGCTTAATAACCGAAAGAGATGCTTAAAGTGCCGCTTACAAAGCATACCCCCCATGTATTAATTAAGCGACACTTTAAACTTTTTCAGTTTCTGAATTTACCCTTACCCTTACACCTTGCTCTTACCCTATTGTTACCCCCTCTACCCGCTACCCACCCCGCCTGCTAACCCAACCCCACTCCGACCCTGACCCCGCCCTACCCACTACCTCCATCCTCGTACCTTACTCCTTACCCCTACCCTACCCTACCAATCATTACCCCACCCCGCGTACCCCTTTTCCCTACAACGACCCTACCCCACCCCCTACCACCTACCTCGGCTCCACCCATTCCCAAACCCACCCTACCCCACTGCTACCCCCTACCACCTCAACCCCACCCCGACCCTCGTAAACTTACCCCTACCCTACCCCCTATCACATGCCCCCTACCTCGGCCCCACCCTACCGACATCCTGCCCCACCCACTCCTACCCCAGCCCTAACACATCCCTACCTTACCCCGACCCCGATCATCCCCACCCTTTACCCCTAACCAGGACCCTGCCCCACCCCCTACCATTTGCCCCTTCCTCGGCCCCACCCTAACCCCCCACACGTGAAGTAAACATGTTCTGAGTAAAAATTCAAGAGAGAAATAAATCTTTTTTGAATTAGTTAACAAAATATGTAACCACAAAGTTGTAAATTAAATAGCATCCAACCACACAAATTAAATAAATCCAAATTTTAAAACGTAAGAAAATTAAACATCATCATCTATATAAATAAAATTAAGAAAATTAAATGAATATGTGTCACAATTCATTGAGTAATAAAAGTCTTTATATGAAAAATGAATGAATAAAGGAAATTTGATGCATTTGAAATAGAGAATTGAGAATATTAATTTAGGAGTTTATATGCATTTTGAAACTCTTTTTAATAGACTCATAAATTTCTTCAATCGAGATGCTTTGTCTAGATACAATAAGGAGTACGGAGTATTAAATATAATAGAGTTTTTTTAATAATATTTTAAAATGGTTTGATATACCTTTACCCAAATTTTAAGACCCATTTGATTCCTAAAGTTTGTAAGTCCCCCGTTCGATTTTCTAAAGTTTTTAGTACTCGGCCCTAACCCCTCAAACTTGCATTAACCGGTCTGACTCACGATTCTGGTACCTATTTGTCCATTCCTAATAAAGAGGTCATTTTTTTACCATTTTTCCTAAAACATTTAATAGAAGATTAATTGATAGAAGAAGGATAGAATCGCCCTTTTTAACTTACACTATAGGATTATTACACAGAGCGGCAGCCCGGTACCCTCAAGTTAGGGTTTGTTTTGTGCCGACTTCCGAATTCGGCGTTCTGGTCCACTTCGATGCCTCTGGTGTTCGAAGGTGGTTGGAGTTTCTCGGTGAGGCGATGTCATACAGGTTCAAGGAGTTTTTCTTTGATGGAGGGCAGTGGTTGTCATGGTGTGACACTCCAGCATACCGGAGGAGAACCATACACAAAGCTTGAATGGCGGAGCATCTGGCGGCTGGGTTTGGCTACATATGACAGCAAGGTCTGGTTTTCATGGCTTTGTTCTTTCTGTGAGACGATGAAGGTTAGCTACCTAATTTGTTTGGATATCATATTCGTGTATTCATTGGGGTTTCGTTCGGCTGCTTTGGTTTGCGATGGTCGCTGGTCCCTGTCAATGAGAGATAGCAGGGCTAGTTTTGCCGTTTGGCTTGTTGATTTCATGGGTGTGAAACAGGGGTTCAGTGATGGCTATGGCCGACTTTAAGGGGAGGAGGAGGATTGGAACACAACTCAAATTAAATCAGTGGCGGAAAGTATGAAGTATCAGCCATGTAAGGTTTTCCGGGAGAACAGAAGCGTAGAAGAATGTGGGAGGAAAAGTAGCATGATGATGGTGAAGGGGGCAATATGGTGGTGGACCTTTCAAAAAACGACAAAGGGGTGGGTCTTGGACTCTTGACCCGCCGAGAGCCTTGAGAATGTTCCAAGATTTGGGATTAGGGTTTTTTTTGTTAGCTATTTGAGTGTGCATTTGAGTTTTCAATACTTTATTTTCTTTTTCAATTTTTGTTTTGATCAGACTGTCGTTGTTGTTTTCAGCTATTTTTATTTCAGTCAGACTCTTGCATTAGATTGGGGTGATGAGGGTTTTACTCTAACCATGTTAGGATCATTTAGACTCATAACAGGACCAACGAGTCATATTGCTTTTTCCAGGGTGATTGACTTTAAGTCTGATTCAAGAGTCGGTGGTTGGAGGTGATTCTTTTATCTTACTGTTCTCTTGTTGAATGTTTTGATATCAATTTAAACTGCCTTGTTAAAAAAAACTATTAATAGAAGACTAAAATTGGTAAATAAGTTAGAATTGAAGATAAAAATGACAAAAATTGGCCAATTTAACATGTCGGACTCCCGACTAAAGGAGTGTTTGCTGGAGCTTTTAAAAAGTGCTTTTCAGTTTTTAGCTTAAAAAAGCTGAAAAGAGTGTTTTCAAATGACACCTTCTGCTTAAATTAATCACTTAAAAGCTAAAAGCTGGAAGCAGGTAGAAAAGTGCTTTAAACTGCTTTTCACTTTTTCTATTACACAAAAAACACTTATTTTATCAAACACTACCAACTTTTACTTTTTTCAGAAGGAAAAACTGTCAAATAGGTCCTCGAACTTTCATAAAAAAGTCAATTAAGTCCTTCTATAGGAGACTCTGCCCGGTCGTCGCGATTTGGGACGGTTCTCGGTGGAATTTTTTGATGAATTTTTTTGAGCATTTTATTCATCAAGTCTAGTTTACTCATACCAAATTTCAGCTAAAAATGTAATCGCGAGCGCATTCAAAGTAATTCGAGAATGCAAAAATGTGCAGTTATCTTCAAGAATTAATTTGAATGTGTTCCCGATTGAATTTTTAGCTGAAATTTGGTATGAGTAAACTAGACTTGGTGAATAAGATAGATGCTCAAAACATTTCATCAAAAAATTCCACCGGGAACTGCCCCAAATCGCGACAGCCGGACAGAACCTCCTATAAAAGGACTTAATTGACCTTTTTATGAAAGTTCGAGGACCTATTTGACAGTTTTCCCTTTTCAGAATCATTTTTTTCTCAAACACTACCAACTATTACTTTTTTTCAGAATCATTTTTTTCTCAAACACTACCAACTTTTACTGTTAAGGGAGTGTTTGCAATAGCTTAAAAAAAAGCACTTCTCAGCTTTTGGCTTAAAAAAGCACTTATTTACCAAACACTTCCAATTTTTATTTTTTCTCGGTTTGCGTGTGAAAAGTGTTTTTCTCTTTTCTATTACACAAAAAGCACTTATTTTACCAAACACTATCAACTTTTACTTTTCAAAATCCCTTTTTTCTCAAACACTATCAACTTTTACTACTAATCACTTTTTCATTACATCTCCAAAGGTGCTTTTTTTAAGCAGAAGCAGTTGCAAACACTCCCTCAGTACTTTCTCCAAAATCACTCTAAAAAATCACTTTTTTAAAGTAGGAGCAATCGCAAACACTTCTTAAATTAGGTATTGCTTCGAACTATTTCTGTTATTAAGGGGGTGTTTGGAACTGATTCTGCTTCTACTTCTGTTTTAAAAGCAGAAGCAGAATCAGAATCAGTTTTCAGAAGCTGGTACCTATGTTTAAAAAACCGACCCGACCCGGCCGGGTTGACCCGGAACCCGGTGACCCGGACAAAAATCCGGTTCGGTTTCTTCAAAACCCGAAAATGGTCAAAAACCGGAAAAACCCGGCTGACCCAAAAAAATCCGATCCGGACCCGACCCAAGAAACCCGAAATACCCGGGAAATCCCGGTTTTCGGTCTTTTCCAAAAAAAAGTAATTTCTTTTTAATTTTAATGCATTTTTTAAACCAATAAAATTGCAATTTCAATTCCCTAAAAAGAAAAACTATGTAATATATTCATATATTTATTTAAGAATGAAAATCATGCCAAATTATAATATAAATGCACAATACAAATAAAAATATATAATGAAAGTGTATATAATTATATGTTTATTATTAATATATAGACGTATAATCGTTGACCGGTTTTCCGGCTTTGACCGGGTTGACCCTCCGGGTCCGGGTTGACCCGTGACCCAATCACATGACCGGGTCGCTCACCGGTCCGGTTTTTACAACATAGGCTGGTACCCCCCAGCTTCTAAAAAAACTGATTCTGAGAGTAAATTAGAGCTTCAGAAGTGCTTTTGGAATTTCACCCAAACACTCCAGCTTCTGTTTCTGCTCCCTGAAGTAGCAGAATCAGTTCTGAGAATAAGATTAAACAACCCCTAACTTCTTAAATTGCTCATTTGAAGAGGCAGCCTGGCAAGCACAGAAAGGAACTACATCAGAATCATCGGATGAACTCACACTTTCCACTCCAGTTCCAAATATTTTCTATAGAGTGATCAAAATGACTGTTACAGCTGGAATTGGGTACGCACTGTTGGCGTTGGGGCCTTCTCTTTCGCTATTCGTCGCAGTTATCTCTCAGAAGCCATTTCTTATACTAACTCTTCTCTCAAGGTTAAGTTTGTTGATTTTGTTCAATTTTTTTTATATATTTCATCATAAGTTTGTGCGATGTCAAAATTGAGGCTTTATTAAGCGATTTTGCTTTTTGGTTTTAGTACTTTGGTGTGGTTGACAAGCCTGATCGTATTGTCTGCGCTATGGAGAGCATTCCTACCTACGGAAAAGACAGTGTGGTGGCTTTATCTACTCATTCTCTTAAGTTCAGTGGCATTTCAAGAAGCTCTCCGCCCTTTACTGTGGAGATTGTACAAGTATATTCTTGTGACTCTTCTATTGAATTAATTTGGCCTACATGAAGCATGTAATGAGATTCTACATATTTTTATTTACATTATGTTGAAGCATTTAGTTAATTTTGCACTTTTGCAGTAAAAACACTAGTAACATGTGAAGTTAATTAGTAGGCATTTCGGTAGCAAGTCCCGTTGTTTGATATGAGTTTGGTCTTACTGCTCTCTAATTCTTTTGCCTGCTACACATAGTTGTTGTGGAGTATGGAGACAGTAATGGTGCCAAGGTAATGTCCACGGCGATGACGCATTTATGGCGTCTCCACATGACACCAAAAATAAATCCGTAGTACTAAAATATGAAATATAGACACTATAAATCTATGATTCAGTTGATTTCAGTCACCAAAAGATGAGAAAAAAATTGAATACCCACATTCTAACCGAAGCATGTGAAGTTAAAATTGTTTGAAGTGATTCCATAAAATAACTTTATATCAATAAAAAAAAAGTTTCATGTCTTTCAAAATATGTCAACTTGTTTGTGTGTGATGATTATGATATAAGCATCATCAATTATCACAGTCCTCATCATCATCTGGATCTGAATATGATATCAATGAAACATCATCCTCACTCATTTCACCCTCTGGTGCAGCTTCCTGACTCTGTCATTACATTAGTTGAGCAGTTTTTTTACTTTACATTAGGTAGTGTCTTTATTTACTTCTTATCAGGGTTTTTATTAATATTATGGGCTGACTGGTTTGTTAATAATTATCAGGGCCAAAGCCAATAAGTAACTAAGTAAACATGTTAATATTTGTATAAAAATATGGCGCGCAAGGCGATGGCGCCAATATGGCACTGCCATGTGTAGAGTAATTGTCAGGACTCGGGAGGGCTTTTTGTGGCGAGGAGGCTTTGTATCGCCATATGCGCCAACTATGCTACCACTAGATTTATATAATATTTAGCTCCATTAGATGTCTTTGAAGATCATGTTGAAGATTTAGGGAGTGTTTGCTAAAGATTAATAAAGTGCTTTTCAGCTTTTGGCTTAAAAAAGTTGAAATGAGTGTTTTCAAATGACACCTTCTGCTTAAATTAATCACTTAAAAGCTAAAAGGTGGAAGCAGGTAGAAGGCTGCTTTAAACTGCTTTTCACTTTTTCTATTACACAAAAAACACTTATTTTACCAAACTCTATCAACTTTTACTTTTTCAGAACCACATTTTTCTCAAACCCTACCAACTTTTACTTCCGTGTGTGTTACAGAACGTCTAATGATGAAGCTGCTCCAGAATGTGTAAAGAATTTGTCAACCAAACCATAAATTTCAGAGCTTTTTGTGTTATACAGATGGTTATATCATCTTCTCAATTGAACCGACTAACCGAGTTTCCTACTTGTCATTTTAATCTGCTTAAAGTGGTTGTAGTGGTTGGTTTTATGCCATTTTCTATCTTCAGGTCTGGACCATTCTTTCAATGTTCGACCTCATTTAGACTTGCCTTGAAGAATCTGATTAATGTTTCTTAAATTACATCTTCTTTACCAAGTAGTTGTATTTAACTTATGTTCTGTTGGCTGTTGCTTTGTGTTGCTTTTACTCTGTATTTATTTATTTATTTATTTAATTTATTCAGAATTACAACTAAAAAAAATCATTTCACATGGAGCCTATTTTAGGAGGCTTGAAGATGTATTAGATGCCTTTGCTGATAAAGTATCCAAACCACGCCTTTTTACCACTGATAAGATGCAGATTGCTCTCGGTAAGCTTTTGCAGGTGCTGGTTCTTGGTTATATATGATCACAATAAATATATTACTAGAGTGCTTTATGCATTGCTAGTTTGAAGGTCATTACATCAGATTACTTTTCGTATTTTCCAAATTAAACTAGTTTTGGAAAAAATGGTGATCATCATCATTTTCACATTAACCGTGTACTCATGCCATTCGAAAAAGGGGAGTGGCAGATATTTAGCAGAAGATGAGATGTTTCATATAACTAAATACATATATTCTTTCTCTTTATGTTGCTTATTATAATTGTAATTTCTTGCCTTTCTCGAATTGGCAGCTGGTGGTATGGGTCATGGCGTGGCACATGCTATATTCTTCTGTCTAAGCCTGTTGACTCCTGCATTTGGGCCAGGGACATATTATGTCAAACAATGCTCACAGATGTCGTTTTTCTTGGTTTCTTGTAAGTTTGAATTGACGATTCCTCTGCGATCTTGGACCTTCCATATATTGAAAGAATTAAATATATGATTTACTGAATGCAGTCAACCATATTTTATTTGTTTATGATGATGATTTTGTCATGGTTATGTCATTTGTACACAACCAATGTGATATACCTAATATACTTTTGGGAAATTTGGCATTGGTATTTCATGTGTACCTGAATATTTATCCTTGCACCCCATGTCTTATTTTCCTTGATTTTGCATCCTGAATGGGGTGCCAAGTCGTATACTAAGGTAAACATGAAGTGTGACTAGCGCAAAAGTATGGACTTTGCACCCTATGCTTACTCCAATATTTGACTTTGCACCGCACTCAGGGTGCAAAATCAAAGTGATTAACACACGGGATCCAAATGCCAAATTTCTTGATATATTTTTCACAACCATGTTTTCTCTAGAATCAGTCATGTTCACAATATGCGTATTGATAAAAAAATATCAATCTTAACAACATGGTATTGGAAGGTTCTACAACTTCATCTCATGTTTCCTTCATAAGAAGGTTGTGACGGGAAGGGCATCATAATGTGCCACTGTTTTTTTGTTTTGCATGATTTTCAGTGTTACTATTAAGCAACTTAAAACTTAATCTCACCGGCCCCTGGCCCCTACTTGCTTGCATCTACGACTTAGAATTTTCACTTGTGTTTTTATTTTTCAATATACAAGTTAATGGATACATAGTATATATTGTTTCATGTGTCTTTTTTACATATGTATGCAGCAATAATAGCTCTTGCCTTTGTTACCATCCATACCTTCTCAATGGTCATAGCATTCAATGGATATGCAGAAGGAAATAAATCGGACCAGATTTTTGTCCCCGTAGTTCATCTATTTGCTGCAATGTTTGTGAGTTCCTTGTCTATCATAAAAAGACCAACAATGCTTTGCATTTTGTGTTGCATATAATAAGTCGTCTTCTTCTGCTTGTTGTGATGATCATAATTGGTGGAGCTGCTTTTATGTAGTTTATGATATTCTGATTCCCCCCAATATTAACTATATTAGATGGTTTTGCAGACTCTCATAAATCTTGCTCAAGGGGGTTGTGTTGTTGGTATTCCTTTGTTGTATTTCATGGCAATGCTAACTTTGGGGTATTGCGGAATGATGGTGTTCAAGAGGCTTTCTGAAAACAGGAGCAGGCAAGCAAATTCATTCTAACTGCAGGCCCTTGCTCCCCTGGATTGAGGGAAGAGATTTTGCTTTAAATGATAGCTTTTGTGGGTAAAAATTTCTCTGAAAAAACATCCAACAAAGAAAGATAAAACTCTCTTATGTAAAGCCAGATCCCGCATCCCTACCAGGCCAGGACCAGAAGTCCTCAATGGGTAAATGGCTTTTTTACAAGAAAAAGCCGAAAATGAAAGCCGTTTTGAGTAGTTTTTTATAGTAGCTTTTTGATTTTATATATTAAGATCCTAATATACCCTTTAATTTTACCTCATACATCAATTATTTAACAAGTAATCAAAAATAAAAATACTGTTGAAAGTGTATTAACAATGATAGGAAATGTCATTATGAATATTGTTACTATTTTATAATATTAATAATATTAATACTAAAATAAACGAATGTGTGCGTGCGTGCACACACATGTGTATATATATTGAAATTATAATTATATTAAATTGTAGTAAATGTCATTAAGTTTTTCCCAAACTCATCAAAATATAAAAATATTAAAAGATAAGTTATACTCCGTATATGTATACATAATTCATATCCTTCATGTTTTTTTTAGAGAATATCCTTAATGTTGATATCAATCGTTGAAACAATCGGCTTTTAACTAACTGTCAGTTAGCTAGCTATTGATTGTCAAACACCACTGATATAAGTGAAGAGTTAATTACTCACACCTTGAAATCATAATTGCATATTTTGGCATAACCAATCATTAAATGACAGTATTAATGTTGTAATTGATAGTTTTCATGACAGTAATTACTTTATTTAGGAAAATTATAATTATCTTAGGGAAAATGGAAACTAATAATCCAACCTTTTAGCGGTCTTCTTACAATAATCCAACCTTTTGGTTATTCATGAATAATCCAACCTTTGCACCTCATCTTCATTCACTGGTCCCTGACCGGTTGATGACCTGCTATTCCAAGTTATTTTCTTATCTTTGCAAATCATTATACCATAAATCTCATCTTTCACAAAGATAATATTTTGCAAAGATAAGAAAATAACTTGGAATAGTAGGTCATTAACCGACCAGGGACCAATGAATGAAGATGAGGTGCAAAGGTTGGATTATTCATGAATAATCAAAAGGTGGGATTATTGAAAGAAGACCGCTAAAAGGTTGGATTATTAGTTTCCATTTCCCCATTATCTTATACGTAGTATTATAATTTCACATTATTTTACTCCTATTTAGGTGAATATCTTTTACTCTATAAATCACCAACATTGTAAATGAATGCCAGCATTGTTCCACAAAGGCACAAAGGGGTGAATATACAAAAATTGTATTGTTAGGTTTTGGGACCTGTTTGTATGAGAATTTTAATTGAAAATTGTTGAATTGGTATTTTTTGGTTGAGATTTCTAACCTATTGTTGTATGTTCCATGAATTGACATATATTTTATTACAATAGTTTAATGAGTTGAGTTATCTAAATTATAGTTAATTAAATAAGTTAAGGAAAATGGTATCACAAAAGTAGGACATATAAACTACTTGTCACCATTTCAACTATTATTTTTTGATTGCCTTTGCGCGTTCTTAGGTTCCCAGTGCAGCTCTCGGGAGAATCGAGATCGATTGGACCGTCAAGTTTTCAACATGGAGGAAACACCGATTGAGAGACCACTCAAACTAGCCTCCTATTTACTCCTATTTAATTAGGGCAATATCTTTTACTCTATAATCACCAACATTGCAGCCAACAGGCCCAACATTGTACCAAAAAGGGACGAAAATATAAATATTGTATTGTTAGGTTTTGGGACTTTTTTGAATTAGAATTTCAACTCAAATTGTTGAACTGCATATATTTTATTACAAATTTACAATAGTTCTAATGAGTAACCTAAATTATAGTTAAATTTAATAAGTTAAAGAAAAGAGTATCACAAAAGGAAGACCTATATACTACTTGTCATCATTTCAATTATGTATTTAAAAGTTTGCTACAAGTAGTTTGGGCATACTATTTAAGGATGAAATAGGAGCAGTGAATAGTGTAGAAAAAGTAGGAAAATAGTTAAAAAAAAAATACTCCCTCCGTCCCGTAAAGGTTCACTAACTTTGACTTTCACGTGGATTAATAAAGTAAAAACTATGTGGTTGAAATTTGTGTAGAGGAGAGGGAATTAACTTTAGCCACATATTCTTTACCTTAAATGGAAATGACAAATCTTTTTGGGATATCCAAAAAAGAAAATTTGGCAAACCTTTTCGGAACAGAGTGAGTATGAAAGAGAAGATAAAAACAAAAAAAAATAAGGGTATTTGAGTATTTTTTAAAAAAAACTTATTAAAAGTAAAAAAGTAATAAACATTCGAATAAGAAAACCTAGCAAACTTTAAAATACAGAGGAAACTATCATTTCTGATTAACTTTGCTAGTTCTTAGGTTCTCAACTCAGCTCTTAGGAGAATCAAGATCGATTGGCCATACATCCTCAAATTCTCTAACATGCGAGAGGAAACATATATTGAGACTTAGCTATGGAAATTCTTTCAAATTCAAGACCTTCATATGGGGTAATGGGGAGGGTTTTAAGTGAGATGTAACCCACTTGGACCACTCTCACTTGTCAAGATTTTCTTTATTAATCAAGGAATATTATGATATTGAATCCCGATTCAAAAAATGACTAATTTTTCATATTAACAAAAATGTCAGTATCATGGTGTTAAAATTGGAAAATCATAAATGTCACTAGCAATTTACTTCCTCTGTTCGGTTATAAGTGCAACATGCATTTGGACACAAAAATTAAGACACCATGTAAAGGTGTTAAATTTGACTATCTTACCCTTAGCTTTTAAACACGTAAAGAGCAGCCACACAAAGAAAAGTGCTACAGGAACCAAAAGTAGATGAAATTATTGCAACCAAGAAAGAGAACAGTAAGCCTCGATGTAATGTTGCGCCAGTGTACTTCCACATCGGAAGACCCCTTTGAATCTCAAAGAAACTTAGATAAGCTACCCCCTCCTTGACCCAGCCGCCCAGCGTGAATCCAGCTCAGCAACCCTTCGTCCGATGCCGCCGACCGTCACCCCTGATGGACAATGATCCGGCCGACACAACACTCGGCCGCCGCCTAGAGGCCACCGTTACCGTCGTGTCTCTCAGCTCGTGTGGGAGTAACTTGAGCAAAATCGATTTCATGTGCGTCCATTTCTTCCATTTCAGTCACAATTAAAATACAAATCAGAGAAGAAGAAAACAATAAACGATGAAGATGATGGAATGCCTGAGTGGGTGAAGAGAGTCGGTGATAAGGATATACATTAACGAAGGAGGAAGGGGCTGTAAAGCTGAATGGAATCAGTGGGTGGGTGGGTCTTGGGTAATGAAATTAAAGAAAATTTCAGTAACCGAAGAGGAATGGAAGGTAAATGATGAAGGGTATAAAAGTGAGTTCACTTAGTATTTCCTTCCTAAAATAGAAATGTTGCATTTATTTTGAAACTGACGAAAAAGGAAAGTGTTGCACTTATTTAAAAACGGATGAAGTATTAGTTTATCATGTCACTACACTTACTATAATAGGACCATTGTGGAATGTCACTGAGCATTAGAAAAATAAATCTTTATATAATTTAAAGTAGCAAAGTTGCTACAATTATTGGAGGGAAAATTCCCGCCTAAAAAGTAATAAATATAACTTAATTAATTATTAAATGTAAAATATATTATTACCATTTAAAATAATCAATGACGGGCAGATGAGAATAAAATGTTCAATTACCATGTATATCAAATTGTTTGTCATAAGTGCATACGCTGCCCACTTCGTTAAGTGCTGCCCAAATCCAAATTAATTGCAAAATGGGAAATAAGATGAAAGTGATCTTAATGGTTGTCATTCTTCTCTTAGTGACATTCTACTTTGAGCATTTGTTAAGAAAAGCCTATAATTTGTGCAATAGACTGTAATGCCAGAGATTTTGACTGATTTGAGAACCTTAGAGTGCTTTTTGGCAGTTGGGAACATGTTAGAGGCAGATTTCCTACATGTTATTATCAAACTTCAATTGAGTCCTCTTACATTTTGATGGTTAGAAAACTGCTTTGAAGAAAGGATATGAAAATAGCAATATTTATTATTATTATTATTATTATTATTATTATTATTATACTAATATTTATCATGCCTAAGCAGGATTTGGATGAAGTTGCTAAACCTATATTTAGAGCTCCCGTTGTTACTCAGGTTTCTTAGATGTACTAGGTTTTATCACTTTAGAGATCGTGATGAGACTAATGAGATGTGTGAACACAAAGAGGATAATAATCCATTGGAAGGAGTAATGGCACTGTCTGTTCTTGCTATGAACTTGAAGTTTGATTCTCTCCCTCCAAATGAATGGTGAGTTTGAATAGTTGTTTGCAGGCAAAATATGCTTTTACTTATAATTACTTTCATTTCCAGGCAAAAGTTGCTTTTACTTATATTTACTTTCATTTCAAGTTCCTGTTTCCGACACTCTTAAAACAAGAACGTTTCTCTCTTTGAAGCACTTCAGATGAGGAGCACAATGACAAAGGTGATGTAGATCAATATGTTAAACTAGGCGCTCCTTTCTCAAGAGGTGACCCTGTTAAACTAGGCGCTCCTTTCTCAAGAGGTGACCCTGTTAAGGCATTTCTTGATGAGGAAGCTGAGGAAGAAGATGACACTGATAACAACTCTGCAAGTGTATCATTATTTATACTACTTTTGGAGTATTTGTTCTGAGAATAGCTCTCTTAGGATATTTGTTCTTAAGAAATATGCAGTTTTACATTTATTTATACTACTTTTGAGTTTTGATATTATGAATCCCAATTTTAAGAGGTTTTTATTGATAAAGAAATGGATTATTTTCATTTGTAATTTCTTATTCACTTAATGACAAGTTAATAATGACAGTAATCCAAGCGTCAACCGTGATAAGCAAGGAATGATTACTTATTAAAAATAGCTATTTTGAACTATTTGTTCTTAAGAATGCCTTTACAAATCCACCTTTTTTACACCAATTCCAATATTAGGTATTATCATTGATTATGAGAGGCATAATCTCTTGCAAGAAGTTATTGTAGAAATCTTTTTTATTTTTATAACAAGACATTGGTTAGTTTGGAGATTATAAAAAGAATTGATCCGGATTGAAGGGTCTTATAGATGAGGCGGGTAATCGTTGAAAATTGTGGGTGTTTTCCTGCTACGTCCAGTTTTTACACATAGATAGTTGTTAGTTGCGGTTTCAAGAGTAATAGTTCCGTCAAGTTTGAAGTTTGTGATATGTGATGACGGAGATAATCAGAGAAAAAATACAAATGTGTTGCCTTCGAGGAAATTTTCAATAATTTGTAAATGAGGGCTTACTAAAATTCTAATATTTGTGATATTTATTTATTTATTAATTACTATTAAAATTCTTTTTTATTTGTTATTAATATTTGAAAAATTATTACGATCTTTTTACATTTATATGTTAACATTTATAATATCTTCATTTTCCCATGCAACGCACGGGTGGTATACTAGTAATAATCATGGCGAAAGTGTGTCAAGGGGCGGGGAATGAATAATAACGCACGGATTATGGTTCAAAAAAATGTACGGATTAGGAAGAGGAAATATAAACTAATTAAACAAAAGTTAATCACATTTGTGAAAGAAAAAATAGTCATTTTTAATAACAGTTTTACAAGAAAATACTAAAGATTTAACGAACTTTTTCACCAAACACGTAATTTTTTGTTTCGCGCATTGCCTTAAATTATACTATATATAATAATCAAAATAAATAAGGTTAAAATTACTTTTCTGAATGATTACGTTGAAGTTACTTTAAAAGCCCGCTTTAGCTATTTTATATATAATTTTTTCTTTATTTTATTATTAAAATACGGAGTATATTTTGAATTTAATCTTTTCATAATTCAATTGATTCACTCATTTTAGCCAGAACTTCATAAATTTCAACAGAATAAGCCAATTCAGCCGATTTTAGTATTATCAAACGGTCTCTTAATTATGTTTTTATCTTAAAAGGTATAAGCCAAACGGTCTCTTCATATCAATGTTGTCCACCCAAAATGTTCGAGTATCATTCCTATAAAAAGTGTTAACGACGCCCTATTTTATGTTAGCAGTCTTAGCACGAAATATCTTATTGAACTGATAGTCGAGAAAAGCACAAGCCATTTTCTTGGATATGTGGGATTTTGTTGGATAGTCGAGAAGACAAAATTCAAGCAACCAATATTATGCAGTCACAAATCAGCACGTCATATCTGTAGTACAATATCCACACGATCAGCCATCTCTAGTTCTCTATATATGCTACACTTCGACTAAGTAACTAACATAAGTTACATAACATTATCCACAGCAATCTCTCTGTGATATCAGTTTTCCAACACACTACAATCAGCTGTCTTCACTTATATATTCACAAGTTGCAGTCTCTCCTGAAAATGTCCTAGAAAGCTGTATATGTAAGGAAAGAACAAGTCCTGCACACCCTGCAAAATATTGTATTTTCTCGCTCAAGTACACTCAAAAGGGCAGCTGAAAAAGAGAGTAGTAGATAAAGGCATATCTATGGAGCGTATTCTTTTCTTTGTTAACGCCTACGCGATTCTTTTTGTGGAACATCGAGTCCCAACATAAAACTAACTCGCATACACCTGCTTGACGTAGGCTGATTTCTGATTAAGTAACCCATTCGAACTAGCTTCGGACGGGAGGATAATCATTGGACAAAATTCTTATTGACCTCCTTGATGATTTAAACTCAAGACCTCCCGACAAGGGAGGATCTCAAGTGTGGGAAGTGACCACTCCTTATAAAAAAAGCATTTCAAGTGTGGCATTGTTCAGAACACATCCACTAAAATTCCTTAATAATTATTCAAAAAAAGGTACATGTACAGATTATTTTCAAGACTGAAAAGAAAGAAAGATGAAGTTAAAACAGAAGATCATACCAGTTCAGATGTCATAATCAGACTTGGGGTGGAGACTCTGGTTCAGAACCAAAAACAGAAGAGAAAGACAGGGTCTCTTCTTTTGCGATGGCCACGAAATTCAGAGGAGCTGGTGAAAGCCTTCTTATTCCCTTGTTGGAATACCCATTTTGATGTCCAGGATGGGAATGAGGTGTCAAAAGTTCAGGAGTTGGCCCACCAACAGATCTCCGGCGCGGTGAGGGAGTTGATGGATTTACAGATCCATTGATATTCTTAAAGCTACTGCTGGTGGTGCTTCTTCTTCTTGGGCTTGGTTTAGAGCCATAGAATGCTTCCTTTTCAGCAAGGAGCATATTCTGGTGTTTCTTTTGATCCTGCAAACAATGTGGAAGTAAAATAGATACCCCTTTCGGCAATTGGTGTTCCCACAAACATAAAACATTCTGCTTTTTTCTTTTCTTAGACTTCAAAGTGGTAAAGTTTGCCTGGAGTCTTCTTGGGGTAAACAGAATGCTACTACAGTATAATACAATGTGATTCAAATGCTATAATTTCGCATATAATGTTAAAAACCTTCAATTTTTATAAAATCTCAAAGACTTACCATAATTGTGGACTAAGCACTCCAAACCCGTCCATTAAAACAGAGCTAGGGTATGCTTTTGAGTTTAGAATTTGGAGGGTTTTAGAAGGGAAGAGATTGGTGAATCTATTTAGTTGCAAAATTAAGAGAAATATGTCTGATTTATGGCGAAGGGGGAGTCTTGGCGCACCGGTTACAGTGTTGCTGTGTGACCGAGTGGTCACAGGTTCAAGTCTTGGAAGCTGCTTCTTGTTAAAAAGACATGCACGGCTTGCAGGAAAGCCAATGTGCACCGCCTTGCCCTTTTTTATGTATGTTTTATGGTAACAAATAGATGAACAGGTGTGCTGTTAAAGATTTATCATTGAAACTATACCAATTTATCATCTTTGTATCCTTAATTTTAAAATGTAATCACATTAAGGTGCTGTTCTCTTAAAATTAAAAAAAATACCCCAGCTCACCCTAAAAACCTAACTCCCAAACACATACTCTCAAAAGGTAATAATGCAAATCCACAAGTAAACTATGTTTTGGGCCGATTTTTGTTTGAATCCGCCTACATACAACTGAGTGAATTTTTTGTATTATTGAAAAGTTACCCGAGCACGCCTCGTCTCCTCCTCTTTCTGTTGTCGGATCACTTTGTAATCCTCCAATATTGACACCAAGCGTTCCTGCCAAGCACAAATAAAGACAGCGCATTTGGTTGGATATGTGAAAAGATTACCAAGGAAATTCTAGCAGCACGGGAACTCACCCCGTCATACAGAAATAACTTCTTCTTCTCCTTTTCCCAGGCTAGCGTCTTGGTGATCAGATTCACAACCATTCCTGAATATAAGATCCAAGTAATAAGGCAGCTCATAAAAATTTGGTGCAAACAAAAATGTAGGGGTGGATTACCTGGAATCTTACTGACTAGAACTCGAGCTCGTTCGGCTCGCTTTAAGTTTAGGTGAGCACCTCTTCCACCACTATAATGGTTTTTATTCTGCCATCAAGGGAGCTATTAAGACTTGGAAAGATCGAAGAGTCCAAAAGACTTGCAAAATTGATAAAATAAGAATATGTATTATGTGTAATTAGCATTGACATTGTAGATTGACTTTTTAGGTTGACTTTTTAAAATGAACTCTGATGACTTAATACTCCATATATGATATATTGATATGAGGGTCAGCTTGATTCGTACTTATGTAAATCCCTACGAAAATTGACAAGTATGGTCTTTGCAAAATCCTAGGTAAGTATAAGCACATCTGTAACATGACCTCTCTCAATGCAAACAAATTAATCTCAATAAATAAAGATGATACCAAAGTTGTTGAAGTTACATATTTAAGTCATACCAAAATATTTTATCGGCATTTATCGGTATAATCTTTTGCGGAGTACCTTAATTCAGGCCCTCATTAAAATAATAATATCATATTAAGGTTTATGAAGGAATTCCTCGGCAATATAAAATTCAATGGTGTAAACAGTGAATGCATTTTTTGCATGTGTGGCTTACTAGGTTAAAATCTTCAAGCCAGGTTTCCTCCTCACAAGCAGAAAGCCATCTCTCGATCCTGCTAATGATTTCATTTCTGCTCAAAGCTTCATCTTTTGCTTTAGTTATCTGTGCTTCAATGTTTGTCAATAGTTCACAAGGATCAACCAGACCTGTATACATGAAAATTAATAAGGAACTGCCAGTTTGCAGCTTTTCAGAGAATCATAAAATTGGTATGGATGGGGGGGTCTCACCAGAGTCAATCAATGCAGAAGATTTATCAACAGCTGTGTTCGGATCAGGGTCAATATGGGTTTTATAGCATATGTCCTCCAGCTCTGACCTGCTTTTCATCACTAATTCCTTCATTCTGCTTGCTTTTAATTTTGTGAGCCTCTCAACTTCTGTTGTCACCTATTAGTTGGTGCACAAAATGGTAATTCCAACCCATTCACTCTTTTCCAATTTTTTGTCATTTATTTGATGAGAAAATATCCCTTTTTAATTGGACCCACAAGTTCAGTGCCATTCTCGCATTTCGTCCTCTACTTTAAAAAATATTGCCTCAGTCACAAATATTTGTCGCTTTGGAGGAAAACTTGTGTTTCATAATGTTTGTCATTTTATAAAACCAATGCAGCATTTAATGCTATTTTTCAGAGAAAATGAGAGATTTGCGGGAAAATTATGTAGGTGTTCGAAAAATACGAGTCAGAATTAGGGTACAAAATTACATAAAAC